CCAACCATAGACCCACTGGGACCTTAGCATTGGAAGTCTTGACATTCTGTGCTGACCCCACCATAAGATCGACACTGACCTTCACATTGAAGTCTTTGACCTTTGTGCTGACCCCCACATAGATCCACTGGCCCTTCAGCATTGAAGCTGACCTTTGTGCTGACCCCACCCCCACCATAGATCCACTGGACCTTTCAGCATTGAAGTTTGAGATTTGTGCTGACCCCCACCATAGGATCCACTGGACCTTCCAGCATTGAAGTTTGACCTTAGTGCTGACCCCCCCATAGATCCACTGGACCTTCAGCATTGGAAGTCCCTTGGATTGGCCAGACTAATCACACTTTCTAATGTTAAACTAAATGAAACCATTCACAGTTAATGAATTAGATTATTAATTATTTAATGCTGTATTACCTTTTATATGTCCATTTTTTGGTAAACAAACACACAGGCGCACGTGCATCGCTTTCTGGTCTCCGTAATCACACAATGCACGTGCTAGTATGCTGATCAGGTTCCGCTGGTCACAACAAATAATTAACATTTGCATTTATCTATTTAGGGGTGCACATTTGCTGTTTGCGTCCTTATTTCTTTATTTTAAAAACTGGTTGCCACTGATGAAACCAAGAGGCCAAGAAGGGTGGTTGACATTTTTTCTGAATGGTTGCCAAATGGCAACCTGGCAACCGTTACTGTCGAGGCCCTGTTATGGTTCATTTAGCAGCTTAAATATTGAGTTAAACAGGGTTCAAGTGTGAGATACCCTGGNATTAACATATCAATTTAGTACTCAGACAAAGCGAAAGCTCGATTCCAGAGTAACAAATGCATCTTTTTGGATTTCCTTAGAGCAGGGGTGTCAAACTCAAGGCCCGGGGGCCAAACTCGGACCGCGACTTCATTTCATGCGGCCCCACAAGAGCTCTGTGTATTATACGGTTACATGCCGATTTAAAGAAGCACTTTGCCCATAAACTACATGTCCCACAATGCATCTCAAATGAGTCTTTTTTCTCGGAATTTGACAATTTTTTCAAAATGTTACTTTTTTTCCTCAAAAATTTCCTTTTTTTATTTTAATTTCTCCAGAATTTGGCTTTTCTTTTTAAATCCTTTTGTGACATTCTCATTGAAGAGACTTGCAATGATTTGCCCTAGACTTCTGCTTTCAGATGTAATTATTTATGAAGTTATTATCCGATAATAATCCAATGAAGATGCAATAATGTAATATAACACATTATTTTATAAAACATTTATATATGTATTTTTATATAGTGTTAAAGTTACAACCGGCCCTTTGAGTGCAACCAAAATGCGAATGTGGTCCGAGATGAAATTGAGATTGACCCCCCTGGTTTAGAGTGACTCATAGTGAGGTCAGAGGTCACACAGTTCTGTTGTCGTGCTCGTATGACAGAAAAGGGATGAGAAGTTCAATAATGTGAAGAAAGTGAGATGATTTTTGCAAATAATGGTGGCAGAGATGAAGAAATACGACCTGACTCGTGCATTTTGAGTCAAAAAACACCTCGATTCTCATCATCACAAGCTATAGAGAGGCGAAGTCCCTCCCCTTCCGGGAGCCTCCATGGGACCCCGGAAGCGGAAAATTATGAATTGAAGTCAATGGAGAGAGAAAAGTTATCTTTTGATCCCGTTTGAATTGTGCCACGAATGACACATATCATGTTTGTCAATCTTAACAAATCATTTCCATGTTTGTCGTAAAACTGTTGAAATATAAGACTATGAAAAATATGCAACTAGAAAGACTACAAATCCCAAATGCATTGCACTCATATTACTCACGGAAACCTTGTAAAGCCGGTCCCGCATGCTGGCTCTTACAGAACCGACTAACTCCCCTTTCGTGTATGTACAGCTCTCAACATGCCCAGACTTGTAGTGATTTTCACCTCGTTTTATACTTTTTCGCCTCAATCTGAAAGAAACAGGTGAAATTTGCTAACGTGACGGCCATCTTTGTGATGGTGACGTGTATTGTGCGAGACAGAGACCTGTAGTTCACTGAGCGATTTCACACAAAAAAATGTGTAACTTCACAGTTTTACGACACATTTTAATTTTTTTGACTTGCAAAATGTTCTTTTAATTTGACAAACATCATATGTGTCATTCGTGGCACAATTCCAACGGGATCGAAAGATGACTTTTCTCTCTCCATTGACGTCAATGTATAATTTCCCACTTCCGGGGTCCCATGGGTCGGAAGTATGGGCAGGACTTCGCCTCTCTATCGCGGACTTTATGACAAGTTCCACCCGCTGTGAAACTTTTCTTGTTTCCATAGCAACAACAACTTCCTGTCAACATTGTTAGCTCGCCTTCAAAATAAAAGCATGCCAAATTACACTTAAGACATACAACTGCAACGAAAGTAACAAACACAATGCAATATCCTTTTCAATTTCAAAGAACACAAATAGGGTTATTTACAGGTGTTGTTTTGTGTGGTAAAGGGTCGCTTTCATTGATGCGTTTTGCACCCCGGGCCGTTGTTTTGATATTCCGCTGAAGTATACGCTGTGACATAATAACTTGAGGGAAGGGGTGGGGGTCAGAGGGCCTAGGTATAAAAGTCACGGCTCGCCACTGAGATAAGGCAATACAAATCTTAAGTCCCAGGTTCCTCAAACAATGCAACATAAATATATATAAGACATAAAACAAGGAAACAAATAAAAAAACAATAACAAATAGTGCAATAAGGAACAGAGCAGAAAATAAATAGTGCAAGAGAATGTTGCAAGACTAATATTCAAATGATGCAGAATAAGTTAAATATATGAGTAAAAAAAAACGATGAGCTAAAGATATAATGTCAAATCAAATACTGTAAAGTGAAATAGAATACAGCTTATTGTAATAATAAATAAATATGTGCAATTCAAACAGATAAAGTTCTGATGAGATTTTCCTGCTGAATAAAACCTGTTAAGTATCACAAACATGTTGCCTTAGCTACAAAGCTTATTTCCTTCAATATACCAAAACCCATCGGGAATTCCCATTGCTTTTCACCTCTTGCGAACACCTGCCTCATCACTGCACCACTCTATAACTCATGGCGACTTATCCGCTACCTGTGCCTTCATTTCAAGTCTTCCACAAGTTAATTGCTGTATAGCTGTGAGCAATAACAGTTACCATGTTAAATGATGTATTTCCTCATGATACGACTTTTGGAGCTGGTGTTGTCAGACACATTTTATTGCAACAGAGTTGGCAATATTCTATAAATCCAGTTTTCTCTTGCTCGCTTCTCCAATATTAAACACTTTGGCTTAAATAATTTGATGTGAGAACCTCTCACTAACTGTCCATGTGCTGTCAAAGCTGCAACACTAAGCAGCTCCTCAGTGCCTCTCTCTCAGGCATGTGACAGGACATGCCCTGCAGCCTCTGAACATGCGGCTGACAGCAGGCAGGTGGATTACAGTAAGTCTTTCACTGCTGCTCGTGTCAAGCTGCGGCCCGGAAACTGACAGTGTATCTGTTCTGACTGAAGATGCTGCTGCCTCGTTTTTTAGACTTTTATCTCACAACAAATTCTGCACTGTACTACTGCTTGTACTGCTTGTTATTCACTCACACTTGAACTGTCAATATAAATACAATAGATGCCTTGGACCAGATTTAGCTACTATTTACTACTATTTGCTACTACTGATTTCAGCCCCTGGTATCAATTTATATAGGACATATTGTGCACATTTTCCGGGTTGTATTTGTATTTTGTGTCTCTACTGTGACATGTTTTTATGCTTTAATGTTCAAAAAGCTCTCATACTGCCTGTGCTGCAGCACCTCTTTTCACCCTTTGTCTGAAACCAGAGCTCAGTCTGCACTGATTGGTCAGCTGGCCAGCTCTGTTGTGATTGGTCAACAGCTTAGAGGTGTGTCGAAAATGTCCCTCCCCTTAGCCTATCACATACAATGTGTTAGAGCGCTAGCAAATAGATCTGCGAGTCTTGCATAGTGATGTCACTATGAAACATAATTAAATAAAGGATTCCAATGGAGGTGTTTTGTGCAGGGAGAGTGTGTGAGGGAGAGAAACTCCTGGAGGGAACACAGGGATGTTAGCCTTTGCAGACCATTTACATGCAAAAACCTATAAACACAAATCATCATAGGGCCCCTTTAAATTCAAGAATGAACTCTCACTCTCCTAATTCCTGGATTACATTACATTAAACATAACAAAAAAAACACACACTAGTCAATATTACAACAATATGATCATGCCCAAACGTGCCTTGAGCCAGAATATTATGAAAGCCATCGTTTTGGTCTCCATCGAAAATGTTGGCTGCTGTGATTGACAGGTGGGTGCCCTCACAGATTGATAGCTGCTAACTGCTAGCTGGGCATTGCGGCATTGTATGAAGAATTGTAAAATGTGAAGCTATAAGAGAGGATCGTTTCTGGAAATGTAAGATTTACTTCACATATCATTATGAGAAGTCTTCCTTCCTTCATCTGCGGTTGCAGCCTGACTCCGCCCTCTCTCTTTGAACGCATTGTTTTGGTGTAAGAAAACGTTTTCTATTGTGCCTTCAGGCAATACGGTGTCCACGAACACAATCGTATAATTATTCAATTGCAGTGTGTAGGTTTCAAGTGAACGCAAAAACCTGTATAACTGTTGTTCGGATCGAATGCATGAGCTTGAAGATCACAGAAATTGCTCCCGTAGGCATGTCTACTGAAGTATGGAAGTGTATGTAAGACGCTTTGGATAAAAACGTCAGCTAAAGAAGAAAATTGTAAAAACATGCAGACCTTCTCTATAACACACACAAACATACTTTAATTAATTATACTCAGCAGCTGCTCACACCTGGACTTAATCGGTAAAAGTATAAACACTTCATATTGATATATAAACATGAAACAGCAGTAAAATGTGGTTATGGTTCTCCTGCAAATTGTTGACTTATTGAACTTTTTTGTTCTTTTTAATTCAGGATGTGGTCACACACAACATCCAGTCATCCTACACACAAGGTACATGTTCTTTCTAACAGTTACATCTGACACATCTCTGTCTGACTTTGAAGACTCAATCTTTTGTTTCAAAATCAGGCCTGTTTGGTCCTGACGTTGCTGGCAGCTCCCCAGCAGAGACAGCGCCTGCAGTGGGAGATCTGCAGCAGTTTGCAGGATGGAGAGCTGCCCCACCTGCCCCCAGTGCTGGCCTGCATCCTGCTGTAGCACCCTGGGCTTCTTCTGACTTCAACCAGCAGGACCCTTCAGCCCAGACTCTGGCCTACGCACCGACCCCCACCCGCACTGCTGATGTGTACATGCAGACTCTATGTCCAAGCTATACCATGCTTACCTACACACACACACCACTGCTCACTAACTTTGGGGTGAGTAGGATGAACCTTTGAATGTGTGCTCAAAGTTTGGTATATTTATTATGTCAAAACAGACTTTCTCCAAAATATGACTCAACCCATGTAGCTTGATCCTTGTTATCAACCAACATACAGACAAAGAGGCTTTGTTAGTTGGTAAGCTACATTTCCCAGCAGCTTCATTTAATTAAATACATGTTACCTGTAACAAGCTTTATTGTCCATCCATGAAAGGTGGCAGCAAATGCTACATCATTACCTTTATTTTTTCTTGACTTAGAAAAAAAAACACTTCACTGCATCCTGCAGTCTGTTGGTTCGCCAAAAGCTAAGCACCTGCAGCTCCCATTTGTGAGCATTGCCATTAGTAGCATCAGGGATGCAGGAATAATAATTAAGAAATTAACTAGCACTTTGGTTAGCTCATAAATGTTTCTCCTTGTCAAGGTTACTTTAATGGATTTGTGTTAGAAGCCTGAATAAAGGTATGTGGTTAACATAAGCTTAAGTTATTCTCATGTTTAGTTTGAGATCAAATACATAAAATACGTAAATACCCTGATTGTGAATGTCTGAAGCTTTTAAGAGACATAAAAACAGCGGTTAAATGTGACAAGTCAACGTCATCATGCCGAACATGTGGAGATTATCCTGCCAAACTAAATAAAGAGTGAAAGTAAACTTTATAAGTATCATACACGTGTGTTTGCCACAGAGCTTATTTTTCTGCGATATTCCAAAATCCAATGGAAAAATCCCTTTGACTTTTTGTCGAGGGAGCCCTTTGTGACGCTAACTTCCAGGTCGGCCTACACAAAGATGTCATGCCAAATATGTCATGTATGCTTAACAATGTTGGGTGTAACGCGTTACAAAAGTAACGGAGTTACAGTAATGTATTACTTTTTGCTGTAAGTAATGCAACGCAAATGGTGTTTTGTTTTTTAAGAATTCACTTACATCGCGAGACATTCCGACACCAGAGAAATATTGTGCGGGTAGATTAGTAAACCAGAGGCCTGTACTACGAAGCTGGATTTTCCTAACCTGGATATGTTTGAGTTAGCCGGTTGGACTAATCCAAAACATACGCGCTGTCGCTAAGCTGGCTATCAAGTGGATCGCTCAAGCCAGCCGTGTCCTATCTAGTTAGGTGCGCGTTCACATGAAAGGGGTGGTATTTGGAGCATTCGACCAATCACAAACATGGAGAAGCGTACTGACAGCGCAGCGTCATACTTCCTGAATGAAAAGTAAACTAATATTAGACAAATATGAACTTTAAACATCCATGACTTAAACACTTTATCCAGGATCAAAGCCACATAGCTGCACATGCAAGGTGAATACAGCTGGTAACAGAACAAGTGTTTGAATGCGTACATTAACAGGTTTATGATATCACTGCCCCGTCTAAGACACGATCTGACTTTAATTAGATTTGACTCAAGTGTTTCATCAACTTAATGTGTGGCTTAAAATAATACTTCTGCATACAGTATGTGACACTGTGAGTGTTGCACGGACAGATACGGCTCAGCTGACTCAGATAAGGAAATATATAACACATTATGACATAATGTGTTATATATTTCCTTATCTGAGTCAGCTGAGCCGTATCTGTCCGTGCAACACTCACAGTGTCACATACTGTATGCAGAAGTATTATTTTAANACACACACACACACACACACACACACACATATTGCGCACCTTGGAAGTGCAGTGCAGGCATATTGTCATTCAAGAGATGCGTAGTTCTTTTGGAAAACATGTTTTTCTTTAGGCTGATCAGGGAACCCGACGCGAAGCGGAGGGATCTTGATGAGCCCGAAGGGTAAACACCACGCTAACTACTAATCTACCCGCACAATGTTTCTCTGGTGTCGGAATGTCTCGCGATGTTAGTGAATTCTTAAACTAAAAAACCATTTAATTTTGGGTTAAAATGTGTTGTAACTGCGTTACTGAGGATTGTAACGGGTAGTATATTACCCAAATGTCATTAGTAATGCGTTACATTACTTCGTTACAGCAAAAATTAATACATTGCTGTAACTCCGTTACTTTTGTAACGCATTACACCCAACACTGCCCCCCCTACAATGTGTAGATTCAACGAGCAATGTTGGTTACTTCCATTGAGCAGGAAGAGAAGCAGTACCTTTTGTAATTGTAGATTGCAGTCGGGATTTTCTTTGCAGGTTTTTCACATATCCAATCATGATAGGATCTACGTTCGACATTTATGTGCAGGATGGTTTTTTTTATTTGTCAGGGCATTGTGATTGCAATCTCCTTTTGAAACAGAACAAGACGACATAACAAAGCATTAAATATATCTACCCAAGAAGAACATCAAAACAATAACCGTTAACTTAAGATTTAAAAGAACATTTCAAAAGACGTAGTAAAACATGTTCATTTCCTCTGACAGTAGTTTTCTTTGGGACAAATGGGTATTGACGATCTGTACTAACACATCATTTAACCTTGAACGGAGTGAATAGTTAGTTAATTACGTAGTAATAGTTGTATTGAGTTGAATCTTTGGAATGAGCCTTTTGAAATGAGGAGTATTTTCCCATATTTTTTTTCTCTCCTTTGGCTCTCTTTCCCTCGCCACTACCTTTGTGAGTGTCAGAGAAAACTGAGGGAAATTCTCCAAGGGCCATGTAAATTACTTGTGCGGTCGATGTGTGCAATGGGCCATTCACATACAAGATTTATACCTTTGGTAGTCTTAATTATGTCTGCCTTTTATTTGCTCTGTAAAGCAAGAAGCACAGAAGCCTGTAACAAGCCTGCCTTTCCTATAATAAATCTGCAGGATGGAATGACCTAGTTGCCAATAGTGCTCTCTATCCAATGCCTTTCTTTTACTCCTGCTTCTTTATTTCTTGACTCTCTACCACACTTTTTTTCATTCTTTAAAACTGTTTCTCCAGCAGCGTTTCTCATTTCCAGCACTTTCTTATTCCTTTTTGTTCCTAACACTTGTTCCTCTTTAACTTCAATCCCATTCTTCAATGTCGAGGTGAAGTTTTTGACTAAATATTTTTATTTTGAAATACGTTGGTTGCATCATATTGGGTTTGTTGACCCCAGTTAGCTCCATGAAGTGGGAAAGGGTTTTGAAAAGGCCTTTTATCAAGCTTTTCACCCAATGTCTGAAATCTAGTAAAGTACCTGTTATTGAAAAAAAAAGTAGAGAGCTAAAACTGCTTTAGGGTGAATTATGGGGAGCGAACCTTTAACATTGCGTCTTTATTGAGTCGTTGTAACATCATTAGATCAGGCTGGTAAAAGTAACACTGTGCTATTTAATTACCTTTCATGACACCATAAATATTGCAACAACCTGTCCGCACTCTGTGTCGTTCCCCTCCATCCCTCCATCATCCGTCCTTTCATCTCACAGAGGAGAACATAAAGTGGAAGTTGCCATTTTAAAATAGAGAAGGTCACTGAAAGCCTGCTCGGATTGACAGAAAGATAACTCAACACACGGCATGCTGTCAGTCTTAGTGATATGTGGGTTTGACATTTACATTTTTAACATTAAACTCTCACCGTTGTGCGTAGGTGTTTGCGATAGAAGAAATGTTTTAAGGAGAATAGATGTGTGTGCCAAATTTGTGGTCCATATTACTTCTGCCAAAAAGGGGTTTTATAGAGATATGTATGTTATCAATTAATACAAAAGAATATGAATTGACACTTTTCACCCAACGTCCATCAGTAAACATGTTTGCATCAAAATCTGTTATTCTGGGATTTTCTTTGTTGCCAGGCACCTGTCAATCATACCCACACAGCCTTGAGGCTGCAGTTTTCTGAGCTGTCAGAAATGTTTTAAATGTTTCCATTTCCATTTCTTTTCTTAGCACATACAGACACATTCATGATTGCTTAAATGTATTTTTAAAATGGTAAAGGTTCCAGGGTAAAGCAAACAAAGTGTGTGCTTCAGGTTTTGGCTAGTGTTGTGAATTCCCCCTGTGCTGCCTGAAAACACTGCACTAGAGGGCCTCAAAATGATTGTGTGCTGCATGATGATGAAGTCACTAGAGGTGGAGAAGGATTACTAGCTCAGTTTTAGCCAGAGCAGACAGACTGACAGCCGAGCGTCACTGACCATGTGAGTTCTTTGGTCTTTATTTGGTTAATTTATCTTGCAACCAAATGGAAAACTGGACTGCAACTCTTTGAGGCTCTTAAGTGGTTAACTAAAAAAGCCAGTAATTCAAATCATTTCAGCTAGAAATTCGAATTAATTAATTTTGTTCTATTCACAGCCAAATAACATGTACGTATATAAGAGAGGGAATTATGACATGTTTAACAGATGACTTCATATTATCTCTAAGTAGCATATTACATAATTAAAACTATCCATGCCTTCTTTTTTCATGAAAGCAAAAGCACACAGTAATTTCTCAATAACTTGAATATGGTGTTGTTATATATCATTGACTGTGGATGACAATAACTGACTAATATCGTGACAGTTTCTTGTTTTAAATGGTCTGCTATATCACAAAAAAAATTTCATAGCTTGTCAAAAATCAATATTGGGTCAAAAAATGTGATTTGAACATCTCCAACTGTCATTGTTTTGTGTCTGTATACATCAGAATGTTGTAATGGTTGCTGACAGTGGCAATTCACCTCAGCATACATTATAGCTTTTAACTATATCTCAATCCTTTTTTAAACCTAATTTGCGGCAGTAAATGCCACAGTATATTCCTGGGCATGAATGATGAGAGTTAACCTCTTACCCCAGCCATAAAAGCCTGTTCAAGCAAATTGGCTGCTAATAGTGTAAACTCAGTACCGATGTCTTAATACGCTGTAGAGCCATACTGCCTCTTTTTTTTAATAATAAAGCAACAACACATTCATTCCACTCTTTTTATCCAGGATCCCCTTTAAAAAATGCTCATTACGACATAGTTACACAAACAATGGTGGCAGGAGCAATGTAGCCTTCTATGTTTGAGTAATTACTCAAATACAAAAGCAGTAATTTCAAGGAAATGGATTCAGAGAGCTCTTCACATGAACGAGCAAATTAATAAAATTAAATTTTCTTCTTGAGTGACCTCTACCAAGAAAGACGGAGAGAAAAAGGTAGAGGTTAGGATATTTTTTGGCTTGAAGAAGATGGAATAAAAGGTTGAATAATAGTTATTTAAGGGTCAGGACATAATTACTTACAGAAATGCCTGCTCAACAGGGGGCACGGAAATGCATTTAACAGCGCTTACAATAGTAATTTAGCTATCAAAGGGCATTTTTCCTTTTTTTTCTCATCTCTTTCTTTTTTCTCTCTACTTTGTTACTGCTGCACATTAACAGCCTTTATTTTGATCAAAATACAAAAGCGCGAAAATGTATTAGGCCTTTTTATTTTAACGGGGTGTTATTTCAAGGAGAAGAGCACATCAAAAGAGAAAGCACTACATTGGTTTTTATCTTTATGTTAATCAAATCAGCTCCCTGTGTATTTTATTTGCTCGTTCTTCTTTGATTAAACATTGTCCCCTTTCATATTCACTAAGCTGTTTACAGCAGCTTGCTCCCAAACAACTCAAAGAGGTGACATGCTTTAATGGCTGCATGCTCGTAAAACATGTTGAAGATGTGTTAAGCATTACCACGAGTATATGTTAGACAAAGCACAGGAGAAGCTTGAAGGGGAAAATATAAAAACCAAGTCAAGAGTCAAATTTAAATGAAGTAGCATCAGCTAAATTTGAATTAATTTGAACACAAAGCATCTTGCAAACTAATGTGTAGAATTAATGTTCTGTGTTCTTATTTGACTCAGATGTTAAAAGGACAATTTGTGCCCATATTTTATTAATTGCACATGAAAACAAAAAGTCTAAATAAATTAATCATAATTTCACCTTTATGCACTTACTCTGTCGATGACTTGGATTAAGGTGGCCCTATTAAAGGTAGGGTAAGAATGGAGAAACCAGCTCGAGTGCGCTAGAATTTGAAAGTACAACTGAAAGAAATCTGCTCCTTCCTTCAGAGTTTCTTACAGAGCCCCTCCTCCAACACACACGAACGTACACATGACCAATGAGGGCACGAGATAAGTTTGTGCACAGATTGAAGGCTGACAGACATGTAAGCCATACAGTTATTTTAGCCGGGCTGGCTAAACTGATTGGTCGTGCTTTTTACAGTACTATGGCTTCCACAGATGACATTTTTTAATGGATTTTTTGCCAAAGCACTTAATAGACCCTCCTGAAAAACGCGGGCAAAAATCCTTGATTATGCGGGCTAAATTCCTTGATTATCTGAGACTGCCAAGGCACACNATACGGCTCAGCTGACTCAGATAAGGAAATATATAACACATTATGATGTGATATGAATGATAATGGGACACATCGACGTCTGCACTCACAGTGTCGCGGACTGTACTTAATGTTACTTTGATCCGGTTACTTATGTTGTGGCAGATATTTAAGTAAGCTTTCTTAACGCTAATGTTATAATAGTCAGATTGCTCTGAACATGGGAGGTGATATTCTATCAGCTTCGTAGTACAGGCCTCTGGTCTTTACCCTTCGGGCTCATCAAGATCCCTCCGCTTCGCATCGGGTTCCCTGATCAGCCTAAAGAAAAACATGTTTTCCAAAAGAACTACGCATCTCTTGAATGACAATATGCCTGGCTGCGCTGCATCTCCAAGGTGTTCAATACATTATTGCGCAATCTATGCCTGAGCGTTCTGCGCGAGCCGAGATTATGTGTATGTGCGTAGTTGAACCTTTTAATATTAATAACTCGAACCCTGACCAAGCCGTGTAATAAAAGTTGTGAGTAGCCTTAATGGCCTACACAGTTGTTATGCTACACCACATCTTCACTGGATGTATAATGAGCAGCACTAAACTACATTTTAGCATTTAAAATACCGAGCCATTCTTTTGCAGTTATTTTGGTAAAGTAGCCTAACTCGAAAGTAATATAAAAAGTAGTGTAACTCATTACATTTCAGAGACAGTAATATTGTAATGTAATTTATTACTTAAAAAATAAAGTAATATGTACTGTATTACAATTTGGAAGTAACTTGCCCAACACTGATGCCATGATATTTGTTTCTAACCCGAAGTATTTATATTGTGCCTAATCATGAAAAAGTACATTTTTTGTGCGTTTATTTTTGTCACGATCTGTCACACCAGTTTCCTGTTTTATTTTGAAAATTCTTCAAGAGTGAAAATTCTTCAAGACTGTTATGACTCTTTGTACTTCCTGACTCTGTTTTCCCTCCTGTTTGATTACCTGATTCTGTTCACCTGGTGCCTTTATCTTTCCTCCCCAGCTTTCTTGTCATTGTGATTAGTCTATGTATTTCAGTTCTGAGTTCTGTTGGCGGTGGTCTGATCCTCGTATTTCTTATGTGGAAGTGGGTAATGTAGAGTTCTGTTAACTTGGTTTTGCCTGGCCTTGCCCTGCGCTACCTGAATAAAGGTATTTTCTGTTGAACCGTTGTCAGTCCCATTTGGGTCCATTCTGCTCTAAACCGTGACAAATTAGTTTGTATTTCAATTGAGAATATTAGCCTGGTTTAAAACAGTGAGCAGGGGGAAAGTTATTTCACAAATGTAAAAGAAAAAATAATAATTGTCACAAACGAAACGTAGCGAATTTCTTAGAACTGATCGATAAAGCACAAGCATTAAAGATGTGACTCATTATCAGTTATTAAAACAATTAGCAAAAGCTTAAATAAGAAAAAGAAAAGCTGGATGATCGATCACACTTTTGTGCTTTTGGCATTGGTGGCTCAGTTAAAAAAGCTCTTGAATTCTCTAAAGGTTTTTGTCTCTGCTCGTTTTAGTTCCTTTGCATACATTAAAATGTTATTTGTTGTTTTTCAGCCCATATCTGTGGCCCCAACACAAGGCTCCCTCCCGCAGATGGAGCTCCCAGACTCGGCGCTGACCTATCTCCCCTGGGCCCAGCCCATCACCACCATATCTGCCATGCCCAGCTCTGGGGTCCAGTTTGCCTCTGGCTCCTCAGCCCTGCCTGGGTCCCCTCTGGTCCACATGCCGCTGTCCATGTCTCTGACCACCATGTTCCCTCAGCTGGAGGCTCAGGGTTTACATCCTCAGATACAGCCACAGATACTGGAGATGCCCCAGCGCTCAGAACACCAACTGGACCCTGAGCCACAGGATGATGAAGGTCCAGGGGCTGAGTCAGAGTCACCAAGTCTTCTGGATAAACTTCTGGAGGAACAAAAGGGTGACGGCGAAGAAGAGGACAAAGACTCGTACAGCAGCTCAATTTTCATTCCAAATGTCTGAAAATATGAGCAATCTGTTGTCCATAGTGAGCAGCATCTTTGTCAACATTAAACAATATATATATATTTGTTTTTACAACTTAAATAAGTGGGCAATTCCTCCCTGAATGCAATACAACACAATATATTCTGTTCATTTGTAAAACTTTTAATATGCACCACGAAAAACATATCAAATGGTAAATGATATCAAACTAATGGAAGTTTTTTAATGTTTTAAGATATTTTATAAATGCTGTGTAAGATGTAAATACTTTTCTTATTGATATTTGTTGGCAGCTGTTTCCTTTTTGTTTTTTTTGTTTCCTTTTCTGTTTACCTGTCATTGAAAACAGGAAAGATATGCTATTGTCACGGTTAATAGGAGTTATGTTGCAGTTTTCTAAGAAACAGTCACAGTGTTGTTCATCTTCTCAAAGCCTTTAGGTGTGCTGTGCTTTACTGATACAATCTTTCAATAGCTGTTTCAGTTGGGAGCCCGGAGAATGTTTTTACTAGATGATGATTTGGACCAGAGGAAGAGCAGGGCTAATTCTTGTTCGAGCAAGTTGACCACAGAGGATGAAAGATTACATCGAAAGCACCATACCGACCATCAGTATTTGTCTGTACCATCAGAAGTATTAAACAGCACAACATGGATTTTTTTTAACAGAAGGATATATACAGTAATGAGAAAAATGATTAGGAGCAGGTTAGAAAGCACCATGGATTTGGGATTTCTGTAATGAAGAATAACAGATTTCAGCCTTCAATAGTCAATTTTGGAGTTAACAAAGATCACTGAACACAAGTTAAATTGAAACGGAATGACGCTGGATCTTTATGTCAAATGTCAAATAATATATTGCAGATTTATTCTTCGATTCACCCGAAAGCAATTTGCAACAAAGGTGCCATGCAAAAATGTAATTTCTATAAAAGAGATTCAGCACATTGTCTGGTGGGGAAGGATAAGACAGGGCAAATCAAACCATTATTATAGTAAAAAGCCAACTGACTGTTAAAATATAAGGAAGTGTTTCTGCTTTTTTAAAGTTGTTGTTCAAGCACACATTTAAAAGGAAGTGTTAGTTCATTAGTTACAACAGAGTTCATTTTACATTTTACTATAGGGTGAGAATTATCGTCGTAGGCTTAAGAGTCTCGGGTTTTTCCCTAGGGGAAACTGACATTGTGAGTGGGGGTGCAATGCTCTGTGAAATTCCACACCTGGAAACACCTGAGATTGTATCACAGGGGGAACAAAATGTGCCGGGCCTGCTCCTGTGATGGGAACATGTGAAACATTTTTACCTTTGGCTCTGTTTTTTTCATGCAGAATTGTGAAAACAAAACACATGCCATGAGTTGGAATTAAAATGACGGACAAGTCAATTGAATTGTCATGCTTAATAGGTTTGCATGAATTCCGGGTTTCTGAGTTCATGATTTTATCTAAGAATGAACGTAACTAACTCAAGTTGTTTATTTCGAACATTAATATGCAGTAAAATACCATGGCAACATGTGAAATGTCATTAAATCAAACTTGGTATCTAAAAATACGTTATGTATGTTAATTTTGATATTCCTGTAAGCTTTTTCAACACATCACTCATCATTTACTCAATCTCGGTAAAGTGAATGAAAGACAGAGCAGTTGGCCCTCGGCTGCTTCCCTGAAACTGTTTATGTTCACATCACCTTAGGGGGTTTCAGTCATCAGGAAAGATATCCAGCCTTGCAAGATCATTTCATGTAGGACACTTAGCTTAGTTAGTTAATATTCTCAGTCCAGACTTTATTCTACCTATTTTTAGTGCGTTTGCTTATAGTTTATGCAAATTAAATCATGTCAGGCCTGCAGTTTCTTACGAAGGCCCCACGTGTTGATCACAGAGAGTCCCTTTAACCTGTTAAGTCCCATAGCCTCTGCCGGCGGGGGCTATCGGAACAATTTTCGCGAAACTGTGTCTCAGGGCTTCTTAACATTTAACAACCTATTAACCTGTTAAGCCCCGAGCCTGTTTTCCAGGTCTCAGGCTCGAAAATGACATTCCCAGAACAAATGACTATAACTTCACTTGACATTTGACCTTTTAAGATGAACCCACTTCTGGGGTCATTTGGGTGGATTCTCCATATCTGCGGCCCCCCTTGGTCGATTTTGAAGATTGACCTCTTTTTTTAACTGTCAGAGCAGTGGCGAGCCGTGACCTTTATACCTAGGCCCTCTGACCCCCACCCCCTTTCCCTAAAAAAAAAGAGTTATTACGTCACAGCGTATACTTCAGCCGAATATCAAAACAACGGCCCGGGGTGCAAAACGCATCAAGGACAGCGACCCTCTACCACACAAAACAACACAATTTATATAAACACCTATCATGACAGGGCACCCACAGCCAAGTAACAATTACAAATGAATTAAGTCGGCACGGCGGCCCACATTGAAAATGACTTAGGCCTACCTTTGATGATCAAATCCCTTAAACACAAAGTCCATCTTCCTGTCCTTTTGGATGAAGCACTTGATGGCGGGTCATGCAACTGATCCTTTGCCACTCCAGTTTATCATTGTAACTCAATCTTGAAGATGACTCGGTTAATAATTTCGCAACGATGTCACCACTATCACTGAAGTGAGCCATCATGAACAAACTTATGCTAATCATAAATCTATCGATCATAAATCTATCAATTAGATTTATGATTCAAAAATTATAAAAGCAGGGTAGACATGTGGATATTATCCGGCTGAACAAAACGTGCATTTATCTAACAGGTTCGTTACACAGACCTTATTTCCAGTTATTTTCCAAAACCCTATGGAGAAATCCCATTGCTGTTTTGTCGAGGGAACCCGAGCGCAGCTTACTTCCGGGTTTTAGGACGCGTCACTGCACCACTTTATACACATGTATAAACCTCACAGCGGGCGAAACTTGTCATAAAGTTCGCGAAAATAAAGCCCACCCGTTTAGAGGGAAAATATGATTGGTCAATTGTACATTACTCTTTCATTGAGTTACTAGCTGGCTCTGTGAATGTCCAGATGGACCAACAAGCTCTCCCGTCTTCACAGGCCGCTTCTCAATCGCGAGGAAACTGGCTTCCAAGCCAATATTTCAAGGATACTACGTCATCGAGTGCCGCCGAAGGACTGTT